AGAGACAAGCCTATACACATAACAGGTCGGCTATTACTTCTATATACAAGTAATCCAGTTTTCTTCGATAAACAAAATGAAAAGACAAATCAAAACAAATAAATTTGTGGTAAACCTAATTAGGCAGTTCAAATTTTTGTGTGAAATTTGTCCAGAAATAGAAATACAAAATACAAAAAGTCACTGTGGGAGTTGTAGTCAAGTCTTCTATATTTGCACCAAAATATCCATAAGATCAGTCATTCTCTTATATAGAGAAATTTATTGTGCTAAAATGTGAAAGCATGCAGTATTAATTTTACACTAATAAGTTATGTAAAAAAGTATGATATCAATTGCATGCTTACAATTTTAGCAGTAAAATTAATTCTTTTAAGACCATTTAGCTTGCAGGTGGTTTGATAATAATTTCAGGCTTGTCAATGTCTTCAAGCACAACAGTAGGTAGTGTATATAATTAAACAATTGAACAGATGACAATAGTTGCTGTAATTGTTATTGTTGGAGAATTGGAATAAAGACAATTATGTGTAATATCAGCTTTTGATAAGATTTTATGTGTTACAAGTACTAGTAAAATTTTATAATTTGTTTGGGGAGTGATAAAACATAATCAGGAATTTATCTGACATGTTACACACATCTGACATGTTACATGGTGATAATATTCACTTTTTTGTGGTAGTACAATCTGACATGTAGTACAACTTTAGGTGATATTTCAACAACATTTTTACGATTATGTCACTCAGCTAATACAGATTCTAATACAGTCCGAAGTGGACTATGTAGTGTTAAATATCATAATAAGAGAACACAAATGCTCAGAGGAAAGTTACCTGTCACTCATTCAATAACTCTCTACTACGCTGGCTCTAAGTTGATCAATGAGATTAGTTGACATTGCGTTCATTAGTCTTTTACTTTCTTTCTTTCTTCCTTCTCAGAGGGGATGAGGTTTATTGGTCAGTGTATTGCACTCATCATTTGTCTGGCATTTAAACTTTTCTAGAGTGTACTATTTTTCATTACAGTTCAGTGATGTACAATACAGAGTTTTTGTTTCAGCTGCATCAATCTCGTTCTCTTATCATTTCATAGCCTTTTCTTTGTACTTTCTCATGTGTTGATCACAGATACTTCAACAATACTCTTTATATCATTCTTTATTTTACCAATCTAGTTAACTTGATGTCAGTAAGAACTGAAGTAGGAGAATGATTGCAGATACCATTGTTAAGTAATCAATGTAATGCCTGTCTTTACTTCTTTTCTCCTCATTGATTATAGCATTTGTAATGCTTTGGTGACTTCAAATATGTTCTATGTTGGGCAGTTTAATGGAAAACAGAGTATGCTTTGGACAATTTAAATTGGAGTAAATAAACATGTTTGAGAGAGTATAGTAATAAATTGGTAAGTTTAATGGATATGTAGTGGTTGCAAATATTATAAGGATTGTTATTACACTATGATATAGTTTGACACAGGCAGCAAATTATTACAAGTATTCCTTATATGCTAATGCTGAACATTTTACCATTATTGAACCATGCAAGCTACAGTGATAAGTATACATTTTATGTTTTTACCAATTGTGGTAGCAATTTTATGACAGAGCAATATCACAGAACTTTGTGTGATCAGTATTGTATCAGTGCAAGCTGTATTAGTATTATAATTAGATAATAATAATATTGAATTAAACGTATAATATACAGTATTACTATTACTATTACTATCTATTGAATCGATGATCCATGTGATTTACAAAATGGTGTTACATCCTGATTAGGGAAATCAGAAAGGTGTTCCTAATTTGGAATTCGTAAAATTTGTCCCGATATGGATATACGAATTGCACATTTTCGTTGGTCAGCATCGATCACAGATCACATTACTGCACGATTCGTCTGGTGCACTAGGGGTAGTTTTACTGAATATCAGTGGTAGTTTAATTGTAGCAGCCAACATTTGATAGATTGTCATAAAACCTGACTTTTAATCTTTCCTCAGATACCACAGTATCTCATGTCATCCAAGCAAAAACACCCTCACTCAAGTGATTACAGTGACAATGATGACTCATCTAAACGAAAATACTATCACTCAAGCAAAAAACATCATAAAGAGCATCCTGAAAGGCACTCACATTCATATAGTACTAGATCAAAACATCGCTCATACCTGCATGATTCCTCAACAAATCCAGTAAGGCAGACAGGGCTGGGGGCAGCAACTGGAGAGATATCAGAGATAACAACAAAGTCCAATACAGATGTTGATAGCATTCGAGAGAGATACTTGCCTCAAGGTAGATTGGTTGATATGAATTCTTGGTTTAAATCATGTTTGGATGAATATGAGTTTCCTGTTTTAAACCATTTACATTTCCATGACAGAAACTGAACTCTTGTGCCATCAATTTTCTGCCTATGGTATTGGGGGCATTATCATGCTCAACTGCCTCATTGAAGGTGACCAAAATCCTTTCCCTGTTGATATCACACAAACACAAAATGTTGGTCATCTCAAAGACTTAATATTTGAAAAGAACCGCAAGTTCTTTGGTGACATGGATGCTCGTCAGCTTGAGCTCTGGAAGGTCAATGCCCCCACCAATAATCTAAACCAGATCAACATGTCCAATGCTATAAAAAAGCTCAGTGATGCAACATGTCCTCTTTCTGAGGACTTTGTAGCAGCACAACTTAACCCAAGAAATATTCATGTCTTTATCAAACAACCCTTGGGTAAGTGACTTTGTTATGGCAGCATCACTCACACTTCAAATCCTAATCATTCAATTTTCATACCATTTTTGTGCTTCATATTCAACATTAGCACTCCATGATGAGAGACCCAGCACACTCAACATTAAAGATGCAGTCAGCCAAGCTGGCTACTTGGAGAAAGCCTCTGCAAATGGCATGGTTGACATAGGTAGACTCACTATGAAGGAAAGGGCTGATGTGTTGGGCTTTATGGGTGAAGAACCAGGTGCCCGTGACAGGTTCAGGTCACTATTCAAAACTGCTTGTGACCTCAGAGGAAAGCTTGACTCAAATGGCAAAATTCCAAATGCTGACAATATTTCTGTACCTGAAGGTTGCCGAACACTTCCTGCAGTTCATAAATTGAAGCTATATGTGAGACAAATTTACAAGGAACTTTTTGACCAACTTGAACAAGAATTCACAGATACCCCAACAGAAGTAACTCAGAATCGCATGGTCCTGACTGGTACATCTGGAATCGGTAAATCAGTTTTTCTGATATACTTTACCATCCGACTTCTAGCTGAATGTGATAACAATAATCCTCCTGTTGTTATTTTCCATCCCAAGATTGGTACTTCTCATACTGAATGCTATGTCTTTGGGGGAACATTGACATTCTGCACTGGCAGCATTGCAGATTTTTCTGAATTTTTTACCCTTCCTGAGACATGGTACTTGGCAGATGGTGTTTCAAATCCCCAGCTCTTTGAGACAAAGACCATAATAGTTATATCTCCAAATACTCTTTATTCTGGAAGTAATGAATACCAGGAAGTTGACAAAGAGTCACCACGAAAATATTACATGGCACCATGGTCATTGTCTGAAATGAATGAATGCCGACAAAAGATCTTCCCAAGTGTGATGTTTAACACAATGAACAGTTTATTTTCTAAGTTAGGTGGCATACCAAGGTATGTCTTGCAGAGTGCTGTGACAGCATTGAATCAAAATGAAGACATTGAAATGGTTGCATTGGAACATCTTCAAGAGGCCCTCAATTCAATTGAGGATCCAGCCCAGCTACTGCAATGCATTGGGCAAAATAGGACATATTTGAAGCTCAGTAACAATCTACTTCATCAATGGCCTATTCCTGATGCACATCGCCAATATCGTCTTGGATGGGCCTCAAAGTATGTTCTTGACCAAATCCATGAATTACTGGTGGAGCATACTTGGACTGACAGTTTGGCAGACCTTGTCCGAAAGAATAATGCTGCCAGAACTAAAGGCCTCTTATTTGAACTATATGTGCACCACATCTTCCAGAAAGGTAGCTGTACCTTTGTGATCAGGAAATTGGGACAAGAAACAATAGATTTTCTTCAAATCCCACTGGGTCCAAAAGTCAAGAATATCTGGCATGAGAAAGAGCTTTCTATGAATCTGCCTGCTGATGCTTTGGATGCTCTGATTGAAAATGATCCACCAGATGAGGAAGAAAAAGACAAAGGTGAAAGTGAAGAAGATGATGAAAAAGATATGGGAGGCTCCACTGAAGCATCAGCTTTATATGACAATCTGGATAATCCACATGATGATGGTCTGTTGATCATACCAAACATTCCCAATTTTCCTGCTGCTGATTTTTTCATCATGCCCACAGACATGTTCCAAGTCACTGTATCTAAAGATCACCCCATCAAACAAGCAGCCCTGGCCAAAATCATTGAGCAAATGCCAGCATACAAGAATCCAAATGCAATATTTCGACTTTTCTTTGTGGTGCCAAATGATATCTTTAATGATTACAGGTTTCAAAACTATGTAACAAGTGACAAAAGGGTGTCAAAGAAAATACCTAGGGTTATACACCGTGTAGAGCAATGGGTTTTAAAGATTGATCTTAATGCTGCAATTCAGAGTAATTCACCTGGTGAGGACAATAGAGGGAGCTGTTGAAGCTATATAACATGGGGTGTACCTGTACTTAGAAGATATAGTTTCTGGGATTTATCAACCATGTTTTGAATTTCCATTAAAACAATAAAAATACCCATCAAATGACTTCTTTATTACTTTGTCCACTGCACAATATGTTCACCTCATTCACAATTGGGACAGGCCTTGAAAGATATAGTGTTGCTTCTATATTGATGTGATAATACAAAAATTAGTTAACAGACTGAACAAAACATTTTACTGTACTTACACATGTCTTTATCCTTTACAAGTTCATTTTTGTCATCAGTAAACTTGTAGACAAGCCCCACATTCATTAATATAAGAATAAAACACTTATCTTACTATTTATAGTTATATATAGCTGAAAAATTCACTATAAATAGTTAAATATTGTCCGAAAAGTGGGGGGTTATTCTTATATATACAGTATGTTGTGCATAAATTCCATCATCATATAAATCCTGTCAAAGTACCCCAAAATTGAGATGGGTCCTAAACATTTTTCTTATCATTATCTCAATCAGCAGATGATGCTGTTATGTAATAAGACTACTGTAACAATAACAGCCCCTTGTGTTTCCCTACCACTACCTCCCTTTGCATACCGAGTACTTATTATATTAGTTTTGGACAAAAAAATAATTGTGGACATATATTAGATTATAGGCTGTAAGTTTCTGCTTCATTTTGTCAGAAAATCGTCAGCATTTTCATCTATATTAATAAATGCAATTG